CTTTCACGTGTTCCTGGGGATGAAAAGTGATACAGCTGGGGAAGAAATCTGTGTGCAGAGCTGGAATTGTGAGCAGGGTGGCTGCGCCCGGCGAGGGGTGCGTGCTATGTGCTGGCACTGCTGCCCTGGGCTTGACAGTGGCTTTTCGCTGTCCCTCTGTGCTTCACACACGTGAGTTTTCCTTCCACTTGCAGAGACCCAGGAGAACTTGGTTCTGTTCTGTGTGGGGGACCTGTTTCATCCTGCCTGCGCTGTGGGAGCAGCAGCACAGGGCGGGGGATGAGTTGCTCAGCTGGTGCACTCAGGCCATTTTTCAGTTCTTTTCCTCACGAATTGGTGGTTTGGCTTAAAAGTTCTCAGGTGCAGCTGATGGTTGTGTTAGGGGAGATTCCAGGCAGGGTCAAGCTGTGGAGCTTCCCCGGTGTATGACTGAGCTGTGGGAGCTTGTGCCTTCTTCCCATGCCCCGTGTCACTGACAGAGAGCAGCTGCAGTGGGGCAAGAGTCAGTCACTCTTGGTGTTGCTACTTGTTATATTTTAAGGTATTTACCGGTGGCTTTGTACGTAAAACGATAGAAGATTCAAAGTCTCTTATCCTCAGAAGTGAAGTTCCCATTTTCAGTCCTTCAGGAAACAGTTTTAAAAAGGTTTAATTTCCAATTATCCAAGTGTTTGATCAGTGGGGGCCTTTCTCCTCACTGCGTCTTGTTCCTATGCTGTTCTATGAGCAGAAAAAATGCCCCACTGAGATTCCAAAACCTCCCCAGGCTTCCACTTAACCATGTGCCTCTTCCCAATCTGCCTTGGATGAACTTGCAGCACTCTGGAGATTTATCTTTTTGTTGTTCCTAGCGGGTGCTGTGTGATAAAGACTGAGGCTGTGGGAAAGGTGAGATCAGGGCTGGTGGCTGTGCTGGAGCTTGGAACTGAAATCAACAGCTGCTTATTCTCCATCCTCAAGGCATTCTCCTTGCCTCCTTACCACAATTGGAGCCCCCATGGAAATCTGGAGAGTGGCACAAGGTTGTTCCAAAGGCCATGATAACCATGTCCAAGGAGAGGATCAGACTTTAGTCCTTGGTATATCCAGTTTCTCCCAGTCATCACCCAGAGGCAGGTGGGGGTTTTGAGTGGATTATGAGTTATGGAGGAGACAGAGAGCAGAAGAATCATTCTTCATTACTGCAGAAGCCTTTTCTCAGGGCTGTAGTTGCCTACACACCAGGTCCTGTGTCGATGTGGCAGCTGGAGGAAGCTGCAGCCAGATAGGGCTGGTGCTCCATGCTTGGTAGAGCTGATCTTCATCTGCTTCAGTCACCCTCATTGTTCTTGTCTAACTCCTCTTGCTAAAGGGAGATTTAGGGGCAGAGGTTCTCCAGCCTGGCCAGCAGAGCAAAAAAAAAACCCAAAAGACCCAAAACCTGGGTGTTAAAGTAAGACAATCCCAAACTAGAAATAGAATGAACGCTTGCAGGCAGGAGCAGGTGCTTCCTTCACCGTCGCTGTTTGTTTTTAGTCCCAACCCAAAACCTCTGTGGGAAGAGAGTGTGTGGATCATGGAGGGGTTAGCTGGAAGGTCTTGGCTGCTCTGCCAAGTCCTGTCTGACAGTCAACAGATCCCTCACTACATCCCTTCTGTCACGTCCCGGCCCCCCTTAATAAAGTTATTTCAGGAGCTTTGAGCTCTGGGGAATCTGGTGAAGCTCAGTCCTTGGAATTGAGGGAAAGTTGTGTCCAGTGCCATGAATCCCTGGGCAGCACAGCTTGGAGGAAGCCCTCCCTGTGCAACACCAGCAGGACATCCTTAGAGTTTGGGTCTGAGGCGGCTTGAGCTTGTTTGCTGGAAGAATTTTGAGATTTGGGGAAGATGCTGAAGGAGAGAGGCTGGGAAGTGTTCCCCAAAGTGGGACTGACCCTGTGAACAGAGTGGCTGCTGGTGTGGCACTGAGAAGTGAGCAGAGCCACTATATGGGGATAAGAATAATTGGTGTGGTTGGAATGTGCTCGTTAAACATCCTCATCCAGCAAGGATGGGGGCAGAGTCTGGGGGGAGTGGGGATGTCCTGAGGGGAGGCAATGGGAGCACCTAGGTGACTCACAGAGCTTGCAGAGGGATTGTCCTATGCTGGAGCCAATAGGCACTTGGGGTTTTTCAGCTTCTCCTGCATTCAGTGATTAGAGGACATTTTTAAACCCCTTTTTTTCCCCGTTTATCAGAGCAGTTGTTTTCTCTCAGTTACTGAACTGACGAATCTGGACATGGCTGCTTTAGGAACAGAGGAGCTCAGGGAATTTGGACGATATAAACACCCTTCTCAGTGTCAGTGTCAGGTTGTCACCACCTCCCCGCGGTTTCTGATGCAAGCCAGTGAGCTCCAACAGTGATTTTTGTAACTCTAGATTTTGCATTTAAGTCCCGAAGTGCTTCTCAAGGGCCTCAGGGACTGAATCTCTCGCAGGTGTTGCTCTGGGGTGAAGCTCAGCAGATGTTCCACAGCAGGCAGACTGATTGCTGCCTCACCCTGGGGTGTAATTAGGCATCACAGAGGAAGCAAAGCAGCCACGCGTGTCCTCTGCTGAGCCCGGAGCTGCTGGCTGTGGTGGCACAGCAGGCAAGGCTGGCTGCTGTGCCACCCTGGGGAGAGCCCTGGGGTAAAGGTTGAAGCTGTGGGGTGAGGTGGAGCCCGTTCCTGTGTACACGTCTCTGGTGTGTGCAGGAGAGAGTGATAACAAAGTCCTTGCTGTGGCTTGTTTCTGATCTCTGTGCCTGATGCCTTGGCCATGCTGGAGGGTCTCTAGCCCCATGAGGATGTGTAAACCTTGTGTTCCCAGCTCCAGATGAACTGCTCTTGGTTTTATCTCAGTTTCTGTCTCACCAAGAAAAGGGGATGGGAAGCCAGAGCTAGGGGATTCTGTCCCCAGTCCTGGGCGTCAGGGTGTGCTGCCTGGGCAGTGTGCCCATGTGGGGACATGACCTGTGCTGGAGGCTTCTCAGCTCTTAGTTGAAGATATCGAGGGGAGATTTTGTGGAGTGAAGGTGAAGATTTTGCCCAGAGAAATTGTGAACTCCCTGTCCCTGGAGGTGTTCAAGTCCATGTTGGATTGGGTTTGTTGTAACCTGGTCTAGTGGAAGGTGTCCTTGCCCATGGTAGGGGGTGGAACAAGGTGAGCTTTAAGGTTTCTTCAACCCAAACCATTCTGTGATTCTATGATTCTATATAAAGCACCAAGCAAAGGTGGAAGTGCAGCGTTGAAGCTCCCCTGACTCCTTCCCTGTCCAAAAGTGAGAGTATTCACATGGAATCTCACCAGGGAAGATGGGTAAGCCCATTGTCAATTGTCACTAGTAACAGCAGCTCTCATCACTCTTGGTTGCTCCAGTCAGGCAAAAACTTTGCTGCTGGTAATATCTGGGAGGAACTTTCAGCCATCTCAGCAAAGCAAGGCCTAAATCTTCCTTTTTCTGTGATTTTGAATTTTTTTTGGCACTGGTTTGTTGCTGGTGTGCAGATACTGTCCCATCCTGCAGCCTGGTGGGAGCACTGGGTGCACTGGGATCACCACTCTGTGCCCTGAGACACCTGACTGGGTTGTGAATGTGGAATTTAAACCAATTCTCTGGTACTGGTGGTGTGGGATGATGGGCAGAGCCTCAGCTCCAGTAAAATATGGGAGTGTAAGGGGAACGGTACTGGGAAGTGGTAGAGGAGCAGGGAGACTGGTTGCTCTCCCTGGAAGGGTGAAGGATACTTCTGGGCTGTGCTGTCACCCTGGCACCTCGAGGTTTATTGTTTAAAGCATCTGAATCCAGAGGTTCCCTTCTTCCAAGTTCTTGGAGAGCAGTCCTGAGGGTCTCATGGGACAGCTGTTAGCACTAAGCAGGTCTCACCAGGAGATAAAGGAGCCTCATGGTGAACACACACAGTCATGGACATGTGGGACACAAACCTGCACCTGTGCTGTTTGGGGAGGCGAAGAGAATAAGTTACCTCTTCTAGGGTGCTGCTGCTGCTCCCAACTTCAGCAGCCAATTTCATGGGTGTTTTATTTTCTCCCTAGGTTGATCTTTCGCACTTATCCCCAGAGGAGAGATGGAGGTGAGTGTGTTGGGAGGTACAGGTTGAGCAAACTCCTGCTGCTGACTGGAGCTACTGGCAGTGCAGCCTGTGTTCATGGTGGGAAAGGACAGGGTTAGCATTCTTTGTTGGGGGGAAGTATGAACAATCGTAAAAGGCAACATTAATGTTTTTTCTTTTAAACTGCTCATTAGATGTTAGAATCACAGAATCGTTTGGGTTGCAAAAACCCTCTGAGACCATCAAGTCCAACCATTCCCCCAGCACTGCCAATGCCACCACTAAATCATGTCCTCAAGTGCCACATCTACATGGTTTTTAAATCCCTCCGGGGATGGAGACTCCACCACTGCCCTGTGCAGCCTGTGCCAGGGCTGGATAACCCTTTCCATAAAGAAATTTTCCCAGTGTCCAACACAAACCTCTCCTGGCACAACCTGAGGCCATTTCCTCTTGCCCTGTCACTTGTTCTCTGGGAGCAGAGCCCGACCCTCACCTGGTTGCACCTCCTGTCAGGGAGTTGTTGAGAGTAAGAAGGATCCCCCTGAGCCTCCTTTTCTCTGGACTAATCCCCCCAGCTCCCTCAGCCACTCCTCATCAGACTTGTGCTCCAGACCTTTCCCAAGCTCTGTTCCCTTCTCTGGACATGCTCCAGTGCCTCGGTATCTGCCTTGTAGTAAGGGGCCCCAAAAGTTGCACGTCTTCCCTTAGCCAAACCATTTTCAACCAGATGTTGGTTGAAAATCACAGACTGGTCTCTTGGTATTGCACCAGTATGGACTGGGGGCTGTCGTGCTGGAAAGCAGCTCTGCAGAGAGGGATATGAGTGTCCATGAGCCAGCAGTGTGCCCTGGGGGCCAAGAAGGCCAATGGTGTCCTGGGGTGCACTAGGAAGAGCATTGACAGCGGGTCAGGGAGGTGATCCTGTCCCTCTGCTCAGCCCTGGTGAGGCACATCTGGAGTGCTGTGTCCAGTTCTGGGTTCCTCAGGGCAAGAGAGACATGGAACTCCTGGGGCAGCTCCAGCAGAGGCTGCAGAGATGGTTAATGGACTGGAGCATCTCTCTCTGGAGGAAAGGCTGAGTTGGACCTGCTCAGCCTCGAGAAGAGGTGGCTATGGGGGCCTCATCAATGTCTATCAGTACCTGCAGGGAGGTGTCAGAGGTTGAAGCCAGGCTCTGCTCTGTGGTGCTCAGCAATAGGGAGAGGTAATGGGCAGAAACTGATGCCCAGGCAGTCCAACCTGAATATGAGGAAGAACTTCCCTGTGCTGTGAACGAGCACTGGAACAGATTGTCCAGAGAGGGTGTGGAGTCTCCCTTACTGGAAAATCTCCAGAATCCTCTGGACACAATCCTGTGACATGTGCTCTAGGATGACCCTGCGGGAGCAGGATGGTTGGACCAGGCTGATCCACTATGGTCCCTTCCAACCTGACCCATTTTGTGATTTTATATTAATTTCAAGAGGCTGACTGGAAATAAGAGAATTTGGCATATTTATTTGGTTTGGATATTTTTTCCCCTAACTTGAACAGTATTATCACCTGGAGACCAAGACATAAGGAGGTCACAGCTCTTAAGTCCACCTTTTGGTCAAGCAGCACAAGCTGCAAAGAAACACCAGGTATCTGGCAAGCATCAGTCTGGAAATCACTTGTTCCAATATGCTCAGGGTGGAGAGAAGCGATTTGCTGGGGTTTGGGTTCTTTTCCAGGTGTCAGCTGTCCCCCTTGCAGCCTTTCCCTTACTGAAGGGAGAAGAGTGCAGGTGGCTCCAAAACTGAGCTAAGGATTTCGTATTGAGAAGTAGCCCATGCTCAGGGGATCATACAGTTGCAAACTGCTCTGGGAAGACCCTATTTGAGCAGGGACATTGGACCACATGACTCCACTGGTGGTCCCTTTTAGCCTTGCCCGTTCTGGGATTGTGAGTTATGTGGAGCATGTGTTCCACGTCCGTTAGTTCAGGGATGTCAGCAGGAGTTCTCTGCCTCCTTCACACCCGGCTGGGCTGAGTGGTGTCTTGGCTTCCACAGCATAGAATTGAGCTGGTCCCAGAGCAGCCTTTTGTCCTTTCTCCTCTGGATGGTACACATTCCCTGTCTCCACAATGCTCCTTTGTGCTCTTTTTCCGTCTGCTATTCCTGGCTCTCCTGAGGTGTTTGTCTCCCACCGCACTGTCTGTGCCGCGTGCTCTTCAGCCACCTTTTCCTGGTCATTGCAGGGTGGAGCATGCACGGATGCATGCCAAACACCGTGGGCACGAGGCGATGCATGCCGAAATGGTCCTCATCCTTATTGCCACACTTGTGGTGGCACAGCTCCTCCTGGTCCAGTGGAAGCAGCGGCACCCTCGCTCCTACAATGTAAGTGACCCCGCAGCCGTCCTTCCTCCGAGCCTGGATGTGAGTGTTGAGCCATGCCCTCCTTTGCCTGATGAGAAGTGTGTTCCTCGTTTTCCTCTTGTCTGGTGTTGTGGTTCCTTTGTCTTCCCGGCAGTGTAGGGGGATTCTAGCTAGCGACGAGGGTGGATGAGCCTGAAGGCCTCAGGTTTCTGTTGGAAGCAATGCCAGTAACTCGGTGTGACATAGTGCTTTGATACCAGGGATGGACAAGCAGATCCTGGGTGTTGTCCTGAGGGAAGCTGCATTTTGTGCGCACTTCCTTGGAAGCAGTGGGGCTTCTTACTGACGAGACCCTGTATTTGATGGTCCCTGCAGCACTCTTCTGAGCAGACCTGCCACTTGCTGATGCCACTGGCTGATGCCACTGGCTTGTCCTGGTCTGTTACTTAACTGAACCAGCCTCACTGTGACTTCCTTGTCATAATAGTAGTGATAATATTGTCATAATTAATGCTTCCGGGCGATACCTGTAATGCTCTATGAACTTTAAACCAAACCTGTTTGCCTGTTTCGCTCCAGCAACACCACAGGAGCTCAACTGCATAGCTTTAGGTCCTTTTGGGAAGAGGCTATAGGGCAGAGGCAAGCCAAAACCTTCTTGCTTTGTGTAATACCTGCCCAAGGTGTCTGCGGTTGCGGCCTCGGGAGCCTGGGAAGGTGAAAGTTTATGTAGCTGTGTTACAACAACTAGTTGGGTGAAGCATCTCCCATACATTCCTCTGGAAATGGTTCCTCTGTGTTCTCACTCCAGCTCTGTCCTTTGCTACCAAAAATCACCCGTCCGCTGCCTCCAACTCCCTCACAAAACACAGAACCGTTTGGGTTGGAAAAGCTCTCTGAGACCATCAAGTCTGACCATTCCCCCAGCACTGCCAAGGCCACCACTAACCATGTCCCCAAGTGCCACATCCACATGTCTGTTGAATCCCTCCAGGGGTGTCAACTCCACCACTGCCCTGGGCTTGACTACCCTTTCAGGGAGGAAATTTTCCTAATACCCAACCAAATCACCCCTGGTGCAACTAACTTGAGGCTATTTCTTATCCTGTTTCTTGTTACTGGGGAGCAGAGCCTGACCCCCAGCTGGCTGCATCCTCCTGTCAGGTAGATGCAGAGAGTGAGGAAGTCCTCCCTGAGCCTCCTTTTCTCCAGGCTGAGCTGTTAGCTGCTCTCTGGGTGCCACATACCAAACCTTCCCAGTTTCCTGGTGTTATTCCCTGAATAGCCCTTTGATGCAGGCAGAATGGCTGCCATGACTGTCAGGGTGTTTCTGATGTTTGAGGAGCAGAGAACCAGCTCCAAGTACCTTTCCTCTGTTCCTGCAGATGGTGACACTCTTCCAGATGTGGGTAGTGCCTCTGTATTTCACGATCAAGCTGTACTGGTGGCGGTTCCTGGTGATATGGGTGCTGTTCTCAGCGGTCACAGCTTTTGTCACCTTCAGGGCAACTCGGAAACCTCTGGTACAGACAACACCCAGGTTCGTCCACATGTTCCTAGGGAAACTCCTCACCCCCAAGGTATCCATTCCAAGGAATTCTTTCCAGTTTCCCTGCCACAAATAACTGTGTTAAGCTTTGTGCACTGAGAACGTGTGAGCCCTGCACGTGCTGGTGTGAAGCACTAACCAGCTGCTGGCAGCCAGCCTGATGCTTCTGGTACTGAGGTGGGTGGTGGAAAGGTACATTCCATGTGGTCTGGTAGCCTCTCCTAAGGCATTCCCAGGGTGCAGCACACTTCGCTACAGCCTTTGTTGATCCCAAGATTTCTAGTTTGGAAGTCAAGACTATGAGCAGCCTGTGGCAGGTTGAATTAGGAATGCAGAGCTCTTGCCCAGGTGTAGGTGAAGTGTCTGCAAACACACTACAGGTTTGAAAAATAAAACTCTTCAGGTGCTTGGCACAGTTTCATTTAGGAAAAAATGAAGTCGTTAAACTCTTTGTTTTAATTCTTTACAGGCTGGTTTATAAATGGTTTCTACTAATATACAAGATCAGCTATGCCACTGGGATCGTGGGGTACATGGCTGTCATGTTTACACTTTTTGGTCTTAACTTATTGTTCAGGTGAGTGAATCTTTCAGGTTACATTCCTGGGGTGGCAGGGGCTGTAACACTGTGTTGGCTATGACTCAGGAAAAACAATTGACTTGGCAATTGGATTAATGGAGCCAAAGAGACTATTGGGGTGTCCTTTCATTCCTGAGAGGATCAAGGATGAGGTGCTCCTTCTTTCAGCTCAGGTGTCAGCAGCTCCCCCAGCTCTGTGGTGTCCAGCCTGAGGGCAGCAGTGAGATTTTCTTTGCTATATTGATGAAGAGGTACCTACAAGAAGCAGCCAGCCCAGGGGTGGTGGCAGAGGACCCTAGTACAAGGCAGCTTCATGTTTAGAGAGGTTGACTACTTCTCTGGAATATTCTCTGGAATCATATGTTCTCTGGCATATGATCGGAATGGCTTTTGCCCTTTTCTGTTGTAGAATCAAACCAGAAGATGCAATGGACTTTGGCATTTCCCTCCTCTTCTATGGTCTTTACTATGGAGTGCTGGAACGGGACTTTGCTGAGATGTGTGCTGATTACATGGCCTCGACCATCGGGGTGAGTTCACAACAGGCTGTCCCCCAGGCCAGAGTCCTGCCCCGTGTTGGGTGGCCTGAAACATGGTCCCAGTAGCAGCTTTGGCTTCCCTCAAATGGGAAAGTGCATCAAACTCCCCACCTAGAGGAAGAGTCCTTGGGTCTAATGTAACAAGTGTTGCTCTGAGAGCCTTCCTGAAGAGCAAAAGCTCTGTGAGGTCCCCTCATCTTCATAAGAACAAGTTTTTCCCTTTGAGAGTGATGAGGCACTGGCACTGGTTGCCTAGAGAAGCTGTGGCTGCCCCATCCCTGGAAGTGTTCCAGGCCAGGTTGGATGGGGCTTGGAGCAACCTGGTCTAGTGGAAGGTGTTCCTGCAGGGACGTTGGAACTGGAGCCTTAAGGTCTCTCCCAACCCAACCCATTCTATGATTCAATGGAGGAATGGAAAGACCTGTTCAGCTCCACTAAACTGACAAATAATTCTTTCCCCGAGTGTTTAAAATCTCCAGTGATGGCGAGTTCTTCTATTTCTGGGACCATATGGTGCATGCATTAACTCCTGACCTGCAGCAACCAGAGAAGGATTCACACCATGGGTTTCTTTCTGCTGCTCATACCTGCTGCAACTTTTGCTATCCCTGTGGACAGAGGATGTGGTGGCTTAAAATCTGTAGCTCACTCACCTCGTATCAAAATAGCCCACTCCAAAAATATGTGACCTAGGACATCAGGGGAGTAGGTTATGTTTCTTCTTTGCAGCTGCTGTTCAGGGTCTTGGACTTCGTGTTTGTTCCTCATCTCTGGGCTTTCTGCTGCTGCTCCTTGAGGTTCTGCTCCAGCCCCTCATGTGCCACGCTGGGACACCTCGGCGTAGCTCGGCTCTCTCTCAGAGCTCTGTTGGATGCTTGGGGCAAAGCTGTGCCAGGGCTCTGCTGGAGGCATGTTTTGCTGATGATACTAAACCAGGAGGAGCTGTGGGCTCCTTGGAGAGAGAGTTGGATCGATGACAGAGCTGGGCAAGCACCAGCCTTGTGAAATTTAACAGAAGCAAGTGCCAGATTCTCTACTGGAATGGTGTAATCCTGGTTACAGGTATAAATTAGGGTGCAAGAGGCTGGAGAGAGTCCTGTGGAAAGGTATTAGGGAGTTTGGGTTGGCAGCAAGTTGAATGTAAGTCAGCAGTGTGTCCTAGCAGCCCAAAGGGGCCAACCATGTCCTGGGCTGCATCAGGCATAGCATTGCTGGCTGGTTGAAGGAGGTTGTTGTCCAGCCATAGGACACGAGGAAATGGAGTAAAAGTGCATCAGGGGAAGTGCAGGTTGGACATGAGGAAAAAGCTCTTCACCCAGAGGGTAGTCAGTCATGGGAACAGGCTCCCCAGGGTCATGGTCATGTCACCAAGCCTGCCAGAGTTCAAGGAGTCTCTTAGTCATGTGGTTTAGTTTTAGGTAGTCCTGTGAAGCAGGGAGTTGGACTCAGTGATCCTGATGGATCCCCTCCAACTGGAGCGTATGGGACCAGAGTGTGAGGGAGACCTGGGTGTGTGCCTGCACCCCCTGTGTTGCACCAGGCCAGTGCTGAGCCATCAGGCTTGGAACTGGAGGGAGAGGGCTGCTCTGCACTTCGCTCTGTGGCTGGCTGGGCATTGGGCACCTGCCTGGCTGGAGGTGAGGGTGGTATCCAACGGGCAACACAAGGTTGTCATCTTGGGTTAAAGCTGTGACCTCCAGCTTGTCCTGTTCTCTCCCCCAGCCTCTGCCCTGGGTGCACGGCCATGGCAGGCAGCTGACAACCCACCTGGTCGTCAGGGAGTGACGGGGGACAGTCCTCAGCATGGGGAGGGGGTACGTGGGGCTGGGGTGTGATGGGCCACCGCATCACTGAGCAGCTCCCTGTCCTGTTGTAGTTGTTTCCCACAGCCGGACCTGTAACAAGGTTTTTAAGCCCCAAAGGCCGAGGCTGGACTCCTGGGGTGCTGGCCCCAGCCCTCCTTAGAGCTTAGCCGTGCTGCCGCGGGCGCGGGACACGTGCCCTCCCGCTGTCACCGCTCTCCCTCTGCTCTGCCCTCGCTCAGTTCTACAGCGCTTCGGGGATGCCCACCAAGCACCTCTCTGACAGCGTCTGCGCCGTCTGTGGTCAGCAGATCTTTGTGGATGTCAACGAGGAAGGGATCATCGAGAACACCTACCGACTCTCCTGCAACCACGTGTATCCTTCTCTGCGGGCTCCAGCCCCTCACCTTGCTGCTCCCCACGGCTTCCCCCGCATTGGGTGAAGAAATGCCCATCCTGTGACTTGGGATTGTCCAGCTGATTTTTCATGTGATCCGTGCCTGTGTCATCACTGACTCAGCATAGGAAAAGGTGTCCCTGAAATCACTTCCTCGCCACCCCTGTGCACATTATAAGTGGGTGTTTCCTTTCCTTCACCTTCCCAGCTATGTCTGCTCAGCCATGGGGCTGCACCTCACTTTCCACCTGCCTTTGTCAAATCTGCTGTGACCTATCTGCCTGGCAGTGCTGGCTCCAACAGTCTGAGATTGGGAAAGGGAGTGTCCCTGCTCTGTGCTGCGCAGGGCCCTCATCGCAGGCCCAGTGTGGTGGGCCCTGTCTGGGTTTCCATAGGGAAGAATTGGGGGGAAACACTTCTGGCCCTGCTCTGAAAACAGCCTCCTGGACCAGCTGCCTACTCTGGCCACAGCCTGGCAGCTTTCTCCTTCCCCGAAACTCCTCCAGGGTTTCCAGCACCCTGGAGTCACTCAGCCCTTCCTGTCAGCTGATTGGTGTGAAGTGGGTTTTGAAACTGGAAGTCCTGGCTGTTACTCAGCCCCTGCTGAGACAGGTCAGGGGTTTTCCCGTGTTGTCTTCTGGCACCACGGAGGGACGTTTCTGCCTGTGAGGTGGTTTCCAAACTGGGCCTGGGCAAAGGTCATGCTGGCAAGACTTGGGGCCTAAATTTAACTGTGAGGAACTCTTGGTGAGATTTATGGCTGACCCCGTGCAAGGCACAGGACCACGGCAGCTTGGGGCAATCTGGCTGTCAGAGGAGCTGGTCAGTGCTTCCAGTGGTCCTCAGAGGTGAGGGCTGGCTTGGCACCCCTGGATCTACGGCTCCAGGGCTGACAAAGGAATGGCTCCCATTGCTGCTCCCTGACATTCCTCCTTGGTTTAAGCAGCAGAGGCATTCCAGGGGAAGTTTGCTCAGTGACACCCTTTTGTGTGGCAGAGTTGACTGCAGCCACCTCATGTTTGCCTCTAACTTCTTCAGGCTGTGCTGAGGTTCTGGAAATTCTTGTAGCAGAGCATAGCAGGCATGTGCAAGTCGTATCCTGGGAGAAATTCCTTAAATACCTTGTTAATCCCCAAGAAGCCTCTGAAGGCAGCTTCTGAAACGCATGCAGTTCCCAGAGCTCTCCCAGGCTGTCCAAACCTTTCTGGTGCTCAGTCAGTGAAGGGTTTCATTCTCCACTGCCCATGCATTGGTCAGGGCCCTCATGCTGCCTCCCTGGCCACATCCAGCTGCCTTGTGAGACCCTTCCACTCTTCCTGGAAGCAGCTGCACCTTCTAGGAAAGGGCTGTGGTTGTGCAATGTGCCGTCCTCGTGTGGTGGGATGTTTCCATGGCTTGGCAGGACTGTTATAGGCTTGGTAGTACTTTCCATGCTCCATTGTGTGTCCCCCTCTTCCTCCAGTTCCCCTTAACATGCTGCTCCCCAGGTTTCACGAATTCTGCATCCGTGGCTGGTGCATCGTTGGGAAGAAGCAGACATGTCCATACTGCAAAGAGAAGGTGGATCTCAAGAGGATGTTCAGTAACCCGTATCCTTTCTCCTGCTGGGAGCCAGCACAGTGGGATGGGGAGCAGTGGGTAGAGCACACAAGGGGTGAGGGGCTTTCCTGGTGCCCTGGGTAGGTCACTGGCAGTGACACCCTGCCGAACCTGAGGCAAGCCTGGCCACAGCCATCCCTCCATGGGGGACCCATGTCTGTCCTTCCCTGTGCTCCTGTGTTCCCTATCCCTGCTTTGGGGCACCTTTGGTGGCTCCTGGGTGGGCCATGCTCCTCTCATCCCTCTCCCTATGGCTCTTTAACTCCTTCCTGCCCAGCTGGGAGAGGCCTCATGTCATGTACGGGCAGCTGCTGGACTGGCTGCGCTACCTGGTGGCCTGGCAGCCAGTGATCATTGGACTGGTCCAGGGAATCAACTACATCCTGGGGCTGGAGTAAAGGCAGGCGGTGGGGAGCTGCGGAGCCACGAGAGGACACGTGCCCAGGGCAGGGGACAGTTGCCACCGGGGACGCTGGCTTTGCTCCATCACCACTCAGGATCTCGGCCACCCCCGAGGACAGCGGCATCGGGGCCCCTCCTGCCAGGGCTGGGGGAGGATTTTTTTAAAAAGCAATTATTTTAATGAGTATTTAAAACTTTCTATTGCAGATGACAAGAGACACTTGTCCCCTTTCCCTGCCCGTCTTCAGCCCTTCACAGTGCCCTGCTGGGCTGAGCTTTGGGCTGGGGGCTGTTCTCCAGCTCCCTCCTGCTGCTGTGCCAGGGGCGGCTGGGGGGAGAAGGGCTGAGGCTTTGCTGGCTCCAATGCTGCCACCCCGGAGCAGCCTTGCCGGCAGCAAGGATGGGATACTGGGGGCTGCGGAGGAGAGGCCGGAGCCCAGTGCCCTGAAAGAGGGGACAGAGGGACATCCAGCTGCCCCGGGCTGCCAGGTCCCCTCCTGGGTGCCATGGGTGTGCCAGGAGGAACCAAGCTGCACTCCAGCATAGTGATGGTGGGCTCTGCCTCGTGGAACCCTTTTATATGCTCCCAAATGTTCTCTGTTCCTTTCTGGGGGCTGGCAGTGTCCCCTGGCTGCTCAAGGTGGGTCAGCCAGGGCATGGAGCGGGTCCGGTGCTGTTTCTCTCCCAGTGCCCTTCTGGGTGACTGTACGTCAAGAGCAGCCCAAGAGTATGTGCCCCTGCCCTGGGGCATGGGGATTGCCATGCTGGGCATTGCTCTTCTTGGCACTGGAGTAAAAGGGATGGAGCGAAGGGTGGGCTGGTGCTGGTGTTTCCCTGCCCGATCATCGCTTCCTAGCATCCTCCTGGCCATGCCGGTGGGAGGTGTGCCACAGTCCTGCTGGTACAAGGAGCCTTGGGCTCATCTTTTGGCAGCGGGGGTGGGGGCAAAGTCCCTAAGCCCAGGGTATTTTGGTGTGCGGAGACTTGAGCCATATCCTCTGAGGGCACTGGGGTGTGGTGAAGGGCCACAAGGCAGCATCCTCCCAGCTCCTGGCTCGGGATTTGGGAAGTGGCCGCAGCGGTGGCATGGCTGTGGGCACAGCGTGTGCTGTGTTCCCTCCTGGGGAGCCCCGGCGCCCTGCTGTGTGTGCTGGGGTTTTTTTCGGGTGAAACCACATCACAGTGTTGTGCCAAACACCAAAATAGAATCCTGGAAATGGAGATGTAGCCCTGGGTTTTTCTTGATCGTCTTTCCTGCTCTGAGGTGAGGCCATGGTTCCTCCTTTCAGCTCTTCTAGAGGTACAAATATGTGTGGATGATGACCAAGCACCCATTTATGTCACCTGCCCACAGCTTTCACCTTGGGACATCCTGAGCTCATCTGGTTGGTGTTGGTGGGGGCAGGGAGGTGGCAGAGGAGCAGAGGGCGCTGGGTGCTGCCATGGGAGCTGCCTCTGGCCTGTCACTGGGCACCCCTGAGTACTGCAGGGAGGATGTGGCCACTGGCCTCATCCCAGCGGGAGGATAGGAACGTGTTGCACTTGGCCGGTTCCCAAGATAACATTCCTGTTCCTGCTGCCCTCCTACCCTGCTGGGAAAGGCAATAACGAAACTCACTGTGGGTTTAGGGACTTTTTTTCCAGGCTGTGCCAGGGCCTGTGGCTGGGGTGAGTGCTCCTGCCCTGCGGTTATGCCTGCGCTGTCTCCTGGCCTTGGCCGTGCTGGGGAACAGGGTCCAGGGGCTGGCCCTGGGTTTGCAGCCAGTGGGTTGTTGGAACACCATTGTCTGCTGGCAGGGGGCTGGCTCGGAGTGGGGGAGAGGGCTCTGCTGTGGGCCAGGGGAGAGAGGCCAGGTCCTGCCCCTGGTCAGGCTCCCCGCAGTCAAGCACCAGGTAGGTCCTGGGGGGTTTCTCTGTTGTCATGCCTGAGCTGGGACAGCCAGGGGCCAGCACTCAGGGCTCCCCCACCTAGTGTGTGTGCTTAGTCCTATGAGAGCTTTGCCTTACCTCCATCTCCCACTGTGCAGACCCTGCCTTGCCCCTGACCCTGAAGTGTCAGGATGCAAACCAGTATGTCCTGGAGTCCCATGACACCCCTTGGCTCAGCCAGCATCCCATATGATGGACACGGGGAGACCCAGCTGGACCATGCTCCTACATCCCTGGGGGGCACAGGGCTGCTCACCCAG